TTGGTCCATTTCAACCCATAAATATTATACGATCATCTTCAAAAGAAATAGGGTTCTATTCTGACCTTAACCCCACCTACATTCTAAATTTCGTGAAGATCGGGCCATAATTGCGACCTGTAGAGTGATTACAAATTAACATGGACAGACGGACGGACGGACTGACGGACATACATAGCTAGATCGACTCAGCTCGGCGATATAAGAAGATCCATTTATACTTTCCTATGTGGGAAATCAATATTTCGTGGTGTTACATAATTTTTGGCCCAATCAAACTTATAATACCCCCAACACAAAGTGTTGTAGGGTATAACAACCATTATTTGCTAATATTGTTGGAAAAAGCTAAATATGCCCAAAGCTGACTTAACTGTTTTCCAGTCCCATTTTTTAACAACAAATATAGTTTTGCTGTGACCAAATGACGCTACAGAATTTTGACCAGGAAAATCACTGTGCATCGATTTTGTGAACATTTAGCGAAAATATATAATTGGCGGTCGGTAAAAAAGTCAATTCAATAAACCTTCTGCAGGAGTAGAATACAAATTCATACACCCATGTGTAATAAAACCACATTCCACTTTGAAAAAAGAAAAACACATTCATGTCGAATGTTTGTGTGTGACTCAATTTGTTTTCCAAATAATCAGCATTTTCCGATTAGATAACAACTAAAGACTGTTGCGCTTTTTCCGACTCCCACAATTTGTTAACTATTTTGTTTTCCCGCAATGAACGAATGAATGGCTGAATGAAAGTGACGCAATTGTCACGAAAATTCTATAACACAACAAAAACAATCAAAGAACACACCTATTTGTCTGGCGAATCGAAATCAATTATGTCAGAACATGACGGTCGGTGGCATGGAAGTGAGCATGAGTTAAGTCATGTAATCCGATTATCTGGTTTTAATTACACCAGCTATCCGAGGGCCTGCTGTTATTATTTAACTATCTGTTTTGTTAATTATACGCAAATAGAACATAGTCGTGAAATTAACTGCTCAAGCTATCAGGCGAAATTAGTAATGAAAATTATGGCGATATCGTCTCTCACCAACTGAAACCCTCGCAAAAAAAGACTAAATTAAACATTTCTTACCCTTTTTAGGAAAACACTCACATATACAAATTATGACAATAATATACACATAGTAAATGTTAGGAATTTAATAATAATGTTTATTAACATTGTTGTGAAACAACAACAGTTTTAACTTAACTTTTCGCCCAGTTTATCATCTTTACTTTCACATGGAGGCGTTCGCGTGCTGTTTGTTTGATGTATCGTAAATGGTAATATGCAAAATATTTTCATACAATATTTATTTGCTGTTATCTATTTTTATTTAGTTGTTAACACGATTTACGTTGCCTCATTACTACTGCGAAAATCCATACAGTGGCAAATGGATATGAGTAAGCGTAGATTTAACTACCATTTTTATACCCTCACCGCACATAGTGGTAGCCTTACCACTACCTTACCTTATGTCTTTGTGCATTTGTTTTTAACATGAAGAAGCAATCGAGATAGACTTTTGAGGATCTTAATGGAATCACTTTCTGAGTTGATTTATGCATGTCAGTCCGTCTGCCCGTCCATCTGCCCATGTGAACAAAATGAAGTTCGCATTTATTATCCGTTTGAGATGAAATTTTCCACAACTCATTTGCTGGGTAAAAGGACGAACCCTATTGAAATTGGTGAGAATCGGTTCAGATTTAGATACAACTCGCATATACATCCTCAAGCGATTTTGGATTAATTGTGCACCAAATGGCCAACATCAGGCCGATTGACTTAATTTTAACATCAAATTTTGGTTAAAATCGTTTCAGATATAGCTAAAGCCATCATATATATAATTCATCAGATTTAGTACTTAAGTCCCTCAAATTCGTAATATGCACTCCACAAGAATGGTATTAGCTACTATTCATCAGATACAGCCCAGAAATACCTCTATCAAAATTAAACGCGACCGGATCAGATTTAGATATAGCCCCCATATATATGTCCTTATCCGATATCAGATTTATTGTGCAGCAAATCTTTAATATCAACCTAAATTAACTTAATCTTGACAATTCCGACTGAATTCATTCTAGAAACAAGTATTTCATGAAAATCGGTTCAATTTTCCAGCCAAATATAATAAAATCACACACGTTTGAATTCCATCACGATTAACTTTTTTCCTGGAAAATTCTCACCAAAATGCTTTTATAGGCTTGTAAACAATATAATGAGCTCTTATTGGAATAATTTTAACAGCTGTCGGACGAGTGGCTTAGAAATAACAGCAGTCTGAAGTTGGTTACAGTTTTTTCATCTCAACCTGTATTGGCCCACGTTTAGTTATAGCCCCCATATAACTGTACCTCCCTTTATTCGGTATTTTGAAGATTTTTGCAACAATATTCAACTGAATCGTTTAAAATTTCGTAATGATAGTCCGCTATGGGTACTACAGCCTGTGACAAAAAATTAACTATGCAGGTCCACGTCTTTGTATAGGATTCGTGTAGATAGATATTCACTAGAAATGTTTCAAATTCACTGGAATTGTTTCAAATTTTGTATTTGAAGTTCCTAATGGGTACTTCAGTCTTCGTATAGCCCCCATATAACGGTACCTTCCAATATTCGGTATTTGGGTAATGTTAGCACATTATTCATTGGAATTGTTTCATATTTCGTATTTGAAGTTGGTAATGGGTACTAAAACATACGGCTGAAAATTGTTTATGCAGGTCTGCGTCTTCGTATAGCCCCCATCAAACGGTACCTCCCGGAAATGGGTTCCTAATGGGTCTATGACAGAAAATGCAGGTCTATATCATCGTAAGGCCCTAAATATCGGTACATCCCTAAATTATGTGTTTTGATGATTTTAAAATAATTCTTAACGGATTCTAGTTTTGATTTATTTATTACTATTTATTTATTTATTTTTTTTTTGAAATTTCAAATTCCGTTCCAAATGGTGGAGGGTATTCAATGTTCGGCCTGGCAGAACTTACTGCTTTTTTTACTTGTTTTTTTTTTTTTAATACCCTCCACCATGGTATAGAGGGTATATTAAATTAGTCATTCCGTTTGTAACACCTCGAAATATACATTTTAGACCCCACAAAGTATATATATTCTTGATCAGCATAAAATTCTATGTCGATTTAGAGATGTACGAACGTCTGTTCGTCTATTCGTCTTCCCGTCTGTGGAAATCACAACTGTACCTCCCGATATTCGGTATTTTGATGGTTTTAGCGGTATTATTAACCGGAATTGTTTCAAATTGGTATTAGAAGCTCGTAATGGATACTACAGTCAAAGAGAGAAAATTTTCTGTGTAAGTTCACGTCAAGCGACATTATTCATAGGAATTGTTTCAAATTTGGTATTAGTTTGTCTGTGCTGGTCCACGTCTTCGTATAGCCCCCATATAGCGGAACATCCCAATATTCGATACTTTGTTGATTTTAGCGACATTGTTCACCAGAATTCTTTCAAATTTGGTATTTGATGTTCGCAATGGATACTACAGCCTATGATAGGAGATTGTCTGTGCCGATCCACGTCTTCGTATAGCCCCAATATAACGATACCTCCATATTTTCTGTATTTTGATGATTTTAATGTAGCTATTCAACGATATTTTTTTTAATTTTCGCATTTGAATATTATATATCATAAGCCATTATATGACAAATGTTACGTATGCAGGTCCATTTCCATCCTAATATAACAACTGTATTCGGTATTTTTAAGATTTTAGCAGAATTTTTAACGGAACAGTATTTTATTGTTTTTGAGAATTGCTAAATTCGTTCTAAATGGTGGAGGGTATTCAAAGTTCGGTTCGGCCGAACTTACAGCTTTTTTACTTGTTTTTGTTTTCTTTTTGTAATCGGCCATTTCGCTGCAATTTTTCTTATAATTGTACAATAGCCAATATAGGTTGTGAAAATTCAAAGTGTAATAGTACTCATTTGTAGATTTAAACTCCAAAGAAGTTTCGAATACTTTGCCCAAACGTAGTTATGGCTTTTATTTAGATTTGACCGCTATAGTTCGAACTATATATCGGAATCATTGAAACAGAAATGGGTCATATCGGTCCACTTTTTGGAATAACCCTCAGGTAAGGATAACTCCTATTTAAAGTATATTTTACGTTTTAGCCATGTCCTCGATTTAATTTCGCTAAAGTGTGACATTTTCAATCATATAATGTAGAATATGTATAGGACCATTTTTTAGTACAGCCGTTATATAAGATTTCCCCATTTTATAAGTTATCGGGAGGGTCCGGTCAATATTTCCCAATCGTTAAATCGACTTAGAATTCTACTGATCTCGAGTATTTATACGTTAGAGAGTGTCCGACGAATTTTTGTAGGTGTTACGAACGGAATTGCGAATTTAATATACCCTCCATTCCATGGTGGAGGATATACAAATAGGTCTCCAGGACATTTACTAAGTAAATGGTATATTACAGCACGGTTATTTTATGTTTTCTTCTACATCGGACTATTATCACAGACATCTTTAGAGTCCAACACAAATAAAAACATTAATTTTCAAATATTTTTCCAAGGTCCTCAGAGGTTTCATCAAATATTTTTTCACAGCAATAAAAGACTTATTTTAAAGTTTATAATCCTTTTTTATTCGAATATTCTTAGTTAATAAAATATAAGACAGGAGTGTACTTTGAGTTAGTCATGGCTAATAATCACAATAATTTCCACGATTTTAGCCAAAAAATAAGTTTAAACACTAACTAAACACTTATTTGGTAAAAAGTGACAAAAGTTATTAAAAATAAGTAATTGACAAATTTCCACAATTAACAAGCAAAATGGCAATCAGAAATGATTTCACGGTAAATTTGTCTTTTTTTTGTATTTTTCATTTTTTTTCGTTCGTTTATTGTTTTTTTTTTGTTCGCAGTAAAATGGTTTTTGGTAGTTTTGTTGTTGTGTTGTTGCTTTTTAACTGGACTTAATGCTTTAAACTCAAATAGGGCAGACCCATTTGTCGCACATATACACTGCGCTCTGCCGTCGAACATGGTGGACATCTGACTATGAGTATGCCATCGGAACTAAGTTCGGCTCTCACATCATTGGGATAATAGCCCCGTGGCAATATGAACCGCTTGACTATATGGCGACCCACAAAACTATCACCATCTCGGCGTTTTTCATGTTTGGCCTCCACTATGACTGTATCTCCGGCCGTTTTGACTGTGATCTCGTAGGGTTTAAAGGGTCCCACATCGATGTTGGCCTCAAAACCATCCTTGCCCACCACCACCCGACTTAGATCGGGGGCTGAACCGACACGATTTAGACGTCTATAATAGGGTACATCCCAATCGATGAGATCCCAATCGCGCCACAAACGACGACGCTGATCCCAATAATCCCATTCGCTCAGTGTGTTGTTGGAAGGTACCAAGGCCATTATCCACAAGTGTAAGTCCTCAGATTAGTATGACTGTTTGTTTTTTTAAATTAAATCCTTTGATGTGCTTTTTTGTTATTGTACTTCGCAATTCTGCAATACTCGTTTTCGAAACGATTTCACGCCTGAGTGATCTCCCGATATGTTGACTAGTTTCGCGATTTTTTGCAAATAAACTGGCATCCAGCTGTCGAATGGCTTTTTATAGAACCTAGGTATTTGCCATTGGCAGCGGGGCACAACAAAGCGCAGCGCCCAAACCCAAAAGTGTTTTAAGTTTTTATCTAAGCCCAGATACTGGCTTTGCCATCTCTTGCTCTCGCAGCGAAATGCGACCCCAACAAATCAAATGATTTACGTTAAACGCTTTACGTTACGTAGCGACTTGACTTCTGGCTGACGATGATTGTGGGTTCTTTTCGCTTGCTCAGTATGGTCAATTGACAAGCGTCAGTTGTTCTATATAAAGAATGCTATTATTATTTGTTTGCTTGGCATTCTATTAAAAATGTTGTTGTTGTTGTATTGCAATATAAATACAATAACAAATTTGACTTTCTTCCACACAGGAAATCTTGTAAACCGACAGCGCTCACCACCACTACCGCGGAGGTAACAACAAATAATCAAAACAAAGATTAGTTGATTGACCACATGAGAATTTTGACTAAACTTGGTCACAACGAGAGCAAACCTACAACCACTTCAAACAACTTAGTGTCAGCTAAAATGAAACTTGCTCTGTTTTCAATTAAATTTCGTTGTTTTGCTTTTCTGCGTCGTTATTTCTTCACAACGGAAATAAGGTATAATGTTGCGGAAAAAGACAATAGACAATTCATAAAATAAATTAAAACTTTTAATAGCTAAAGGGAATATTCTTCATTTAAAACTGTCAAACATTTGTCAAATTTTCAACTTGAACATAGCATATACGTTTTAGAATATTTGGAGTCTATAGGGTGAGGTAAAAACTGTAACAGACTTAAATAAAAATTCAGTTCAAAATTACAAAAAAAAAAAAAAAAAAAAAAAACAAGTTAATAAGTATCAGTCAGTTTTGCCAGCAAATGTATACCCTCAGCCAATGTTCGATTGTTTAAATATATTTTGACTTCTGTTATGATTATCCAAATGTTTGACCCTCTATGGATTAGGTTTCGAAGGAAGGACAATATTGTCCATTTCGTATCGGACTCAAATAAATATTACTACATCCCTCACTTATAAGAGATATATCATAATAAATAGACTTCATACTTCATCTAATGCAGGAAAAAATATTGGGATGTATTGCATTACAATAAAATTGAACCTTTATATCCAATTTTATGCGAAATCATAAATTTCATATTCATCTCAGGTTTCTGGTTGAGAGAAATATTTAGATATAGCAAGTTGTAAAGAATCGCTGACTTGTTTCGCAAGTTATGACAGATATAAGTATTGGAAACTGTGACCCTTTGTGGGTTCGCAGATATATATCATCTTCACAACAGATCTCGCGTTAGCAAAAATGTTTGTATGTGTGAAATCTGAAGAGAGTCTAATGCTTATTTCGCTTTCTTTGAACGTTTTGTTTTTAAAAATCTTGAACATTATGTGGGGGAGCTACCGGAAGAAATCATCCGATCTCTACCATATTTATAACAAATCTTGTGTTAATAGAAATATTAAAATGTGACAAGTCTACATGGTATTGAATATTAATTCCGCGTTTTATGAGCTTCATGAATATTCTAAATTTTAACCTTTTGTGGGGGAATTTTAACCTTTGAAGAGAAGGAATGGTCCAATACCTTCCATCTTTATGACAGTTCTTGTGTTGATAGAAATATTGAAATGTGCCAAGGAATCGGATGTTAATTTGCGTTTTATGAGCTTCATGAGTATAATTTTTTTTTTACCTTTGTGGGTGAAGTACCAGAAGAATAAATCCCATCTTCACACCAGATGAGACTGTTTTAGTAGAAATACTGGGATGTGTAAAATTTGAAGTCAAGTGGACTCTTATTTCACATTTCATAAGACAATTATTCAAAATGTTTACCCTTTGTGGCAGATGTACTTGAAGGAGTGGACCGATATTTTCTATTTTCGCACCTGACCTAGGACTGATGCAGATATTGAGATTTGCAAAATTTGAACAAAATTCAATGATCCGTTCATGTTGTAAACGGAAAATTATTTTCTGTAAAAATGTTGACCTTTTGTGCCCATCGCCGTACTAGATCTAAGTATAACAATAATATTGCGAATTTGAATCAAATTGGATGCTCCCTTCGAGAGTTATAGCGCGCACCAGCCAGGTAGACAGACAGTCGGACGGACATCTCTAAATCGACTCCAAATGTATTGGAATGGATTTGGTCAAAGTGTCTAAAACCGTTATTTCGGTTACGCACGTTTTGGCCATATAGCTGAGGGTATAAAAATACTGATTAGAAAGTATCAGTCGTACATGTATCAGTGCATAATTAACCCAAAATCGGTTGAAGATATGTATATGGGAGCTATATCCAAATCTGAACCGATCTTGACAACATTTGATATACCCATTTCAGATCTGTATCTGATATCTGGTACCAAAGACCATTCTTGTAGTCGGATTAAACAACAAATCGGATAAAACATATACACGGGAGCTAAAGTTATATCTGAACCGATGTACATCAAATTTGAAGTACTGGTTTCTAGTATGAATTGCCAAAATCAGTCCATTTGGGCTGATATTAGCCATTAGTTGCACATTAAACCTGATATCGGATTAAGATATATATGGGAGCTATATCCTAATCTGAACCGATCTCGATAAAACTTTACAGAGGTATTTTCGAGCAGTATCTGATGTATGGTACCAAATATCATTCTTGCGGAGTGAATATTATGCATGTGAAGAACTTAAAACCTAAAATCGAATGAACCATATATATGGGAGCTTTAGCTATATCTGATTAGGTTTTCACCAAATTTATGTACTTGCTTCTTGAATGAATTTGGTCTGATGTGTCAAAATTCAGCTCATTTGGACTGATATTGGTCATTTTGTGCACAATTAACCTGAAATCGGTTGAAGATATATATGTGTGCTATATCTAAATTCGAACCGATTCTCACCAATTACAACAGAGTTCGTCCTTGGGTCAGTATTGTTTGGAAAATTTCATTTCAATCGGATAAAAAATAAATGTTGTTCACAAAAATACATGAACAGGCGGACAGACTGACATAATGCATGTCGACTCAGAAAGTGATTTTATGAAGACTATGGATTTTTCTCGCTTCCTTCTCCATGCTACAAACAAATGCACAAAGACATAATGCATGTCAGTCCGTCTGTCCATGTATTCTTGTGCACAAAATGAAGGTCGCATGTATTGTCCGATTGAGATGAAATTTGGCCCAAGGACGAACCCTATTGAAATTGGAGATAATCGATCTAAATGTAGATATAGCTCACATACATATCTTCGTCCGATTTGTCTTTTATTGTGTACCAAACGTGTAATATCTGCCCGAATAATGTAGAATTTTGCACATACATCCAAATAAGGCCTGAAAATAAATATGCCAAAATTGATCGAAATCGGTTCAGATATAGCCATAGTTCCCATATATATTGTTCATCGAATTGTTATTTTTGTCCTCCGCAGCCGTAATATGCATCCTGTAACAACAATATTTGGGTAAATATATCAAATACGGCTCAGAAATACATTTGCTAAATTTTATCGAGATCGGTTCAGATTTGGATATAGCTCCCGTATATAACTTCGTCCGATTTACCTTTTATTGTGCACCAAACGTGTAATATCTGCCCAAATAAGGCCTGAAAATAAGTATGCCAAAATTGATCGAAATCGGTTCAGATATAGCTATAGCTCCCATATATACTGTTGATCCGATTTGTTATGTTTGTTACCCACAGCCGTAATATGCACTCCGTAAGAACGATATTCAGGGAAATATCAGAAATATCTTTGCCAAATTTTATCGAGATCGGTTCCGATTTGGATATAGCTCCTATATATATCTTCATCCGATTTCAAATTAATTGTGAACCAAATGGGCAATACAATGCAATGGGCATATTTAGACCTTTGAACTTTAAATTATAATTATAATTATAATCATAGGGTATATGATTGAATTCTCTCATAAAAATAAAATACAATTGTTATGCGGAGCTCTACGCTCTCTAAGTGGTGTAGGGCCGCCTGACTTTAAGACTTTCTTTACTGGTTTGTCTTAAGCGACAACATCAGTAACTTCGAAACGAAAAAATTTTGCTCAAACAGTTAATTATATGCAATTGAAAAATTTTTGTTGTGGATTATTGTCGTTAACTACTACCAGAATAGCATTACTGGTGGTATTTGACAAGCAAATATTCAAATTTATGACATATGCTTTATACGAAGCAGTAATTTCTGAGAGTAATTTAAGCTCTTTCAAGATTTTGGTCTGGTCACAGATGAATCAATACTTCAGTTATTCACCCAAATGTTTCTTTCTTTGAATACGTTATGCATATAAATATTAGAAATAAAATATGACATTTATTCACCATAAAAGCTCAACTAATTATGTTCAACGCAGAAACATGCTGGGGCCTTTTTCTAAACGCCTCATCATTAGCTGACATCAGTAGAGTGTTTCTTTGATGTTCCGTCCATGAATCATACCAATTGCTTTGGTATATTTGTCTTAAAACAAATGGTAGACGTTTGAAGCAAACATTAATATCACTAACCCAGATTGTGGGGCTGAGTAGAATTAAAGATTTTACTTTTTAAATAAATTAAGTCATATAAAGTATTGTTAAAATTCCAATAAATTCTAACATCGCTCATAAAAATAATCAATAAAATATATACACGCCGAATAAATCGTCAACAAGTATTTCGAATATAATAGTCAATAACCTTCGTTTAAGAGCCTAGCTATTATCGGATATCGAACTTGGTTATGTCCTTTGTTTTTATCATTTGTCGGTATCTTTACTGAATCAGATTTTGATTTTGTCCCATCTATTGTTTGGCTCAATTCAATTTTAGCCATGCATTTGATGTGAATAAAACAGAAGCATGAGATCAGCTAAAATGCAAAATGGTATATCTATATAATGTTTGTAAAAAAAATGAAAAGTCAAAATATTTATATTTATTATTGAAAAAAAAATCAGTACAAAATATT